CTTGGAGTCATATGATGTCTCTGCTGTATCTTAGCAGATGACAGTTAAATTTTAAGGTCGCAAAGAACTCTGTAGGCCATTTAGCCCAACTCATTTTACAACAAGAGGCAACTGAGGTGTGAAGTTTTAAGTGCATTCATTCAACCAGTTACTGAGCTGGGGCTTGAAATCGCATCCTTAGTTTGATCTTTTCCCAGTGTATCACGTACTTCAAAACATGACCCAAGACATAAAGTAATATAAAATCTTCATTAGCTAACTAGTAGCCTCAATCTTACTAATAAAAATGCTAATATACAAAAAAAAAACAACGAAAGAAAAGAAGGACAAAAAAAAAAAAGAAAAAAATGCTAATATACAAACGCTTAACATTATTTCAGACTCTGCATCTTTTAAGCTTCTCATGCTCTTTTTCCAAAAGTTTTTATCTCAGCAATCAATAAATCAAAGGCATTCACTCTGTCTTATCCACCTTTTTTCCCCTGGAGTGGTTAGGAATGTCTTGAGTATTTGAGATGCTCAGTAAACATCTAATGAAATATAAAGTATTACACATTAAATCATGCCAGTATTGATACCAGTGACAAATACATCACCACTGGGCATTAGATACCAAGGAGGCGGGCAGTGGGGGCGGGGGATGTGGAAGACACACAAGTCTCAACTCCTGCACAGTGGTAACTGCACCTATAAAGAGATATAACAGTGATTGTATTAAGACAAGCACCAAAATCATGGATTAATATCATGAAAGCAAGCTGGGCCAACCAGTTACCAAGTTCTTAAAGTAATATTCAAAGTCTTTAATATGTTGCTAAAATTTGTATTTAAAGTTTTTTAAAGATTTATTTATTTATTTGAAAGAATTACAGAGAGGGAGAGAGAGAAGGTTTTCCATCTGGTGATTCACTTCCCAAATATCTACAACTGTCAGGGTTGGGCCAGACTGACTTCATCCTGGTCTCCCACGTGGTACAGGGGCCTGAGCTCTTGGGCCAGCCTTTGCCACTTTCCCAGGTGCATTATCAGGGAGCTGAGCTGGAAGTGGAGCAGCAGCCAGGACTCAAACCAAAGCTTATATGGGATGTCAGGCACTGCAGGCAATGGCTTAACCTGCTGTGCCATAGTGCCAGCCCCTAAAATTTTTATTTTTAAATTCCCTAAAAATGCAGATAGAAAACATTAAAGATGGAGAAAAGAAAAATAATCACCCATAGTTCTACTTCACTGATAATAAATGTACCTATATGTATGCCCCAATGAGTGTATGTGTTCCCTTCCAGAGCTTTCTCATATTCAGGGTTTGTTTTATTTTATCTGCTATTACTTGATCATGGTAAAAAAAATTAAAACAGAGAAAATGGGAGTCAACCAAAATGACTTCACTCCTATCCCTGTGTAAAAAATGTCCAACAATTACGACTTGAGTATATTCTCATGGGACTTTTATTTCATGCTTTGTATGGTTATACTCGTGAGTACTAATTTAATTTTACTTTATATTCTTTACATTTTGCCACGTTGCTACAGACTTTACACTAAGCTCTGTAAGGAAGTTGGCTATAGGATAAATATCCTAAGAAACTGGGAATAATTCCAAGATTTGTAGGCCTAATTGTTTTTTTTTTTTTTTAATTTTATTTTTTATTTTTGACAGGCAGAGTGGACAGAGAGAGAGAGACAGAGAGAAAGGTCTTCCTTTGCTGTTGGTTCACCCTCCAATGGCCGCCATGGCTGGTGTGCTGCGGCCGGCGCACCGCGCTGATGCTGATCCGAAGGCAGGAGCCAGGTGCTTCTCCTGGTCTCCCATGGGGTGCAGGGCCCAAGCACTTGGGCCATCCTCCACTGCACTCCCTGGCCCCAGCAGAGAGCTGGCCTGGAAGAGGGGCAACCGGGACAGAATCCGGCATCCCGACCGGGACTAGAACCTGATGTGCCAGCGCCGCAAGGTGGAAGATTAGCCTAGTGAGCCGCGGCGCCAGCTTCCACATTGCTTTTCTAAGTGGTTGTTAGTTAATGTGTATATAAATGAAAATGAAACTCAATACATGTTTGTTGAATTAGTCAACTGCATGCCAAGCACTGTGCAAAGCACTAGGAATAAGAGGAGAAATTGTGTTCCAGCATCAGGCACCTTATGATCTAGCAGGGACATAGACCTGCCATTCCCACATAAGACAATTAACGCTGAAACAAGAGGGACAGAATGCAGTGGAGTGTGCGGTCTCCTTCTCTGCTTTACTGTTCCCAGAAGACCTCGCCTTCTGTCCAACACTATATCCTGCTTTGTCACGTAGGCCTCAGAAAGGACTGCTTATGCTCAAATCTCACAGAATCTCATAAATACAGTTCCTTGATCTTTCAGCTCTAACCTCTTCCTGCACTGTGTCTTCCAACTGTCAGGTTGTTGGCTGCTACAGGTACCACTCTATTTCCTCTAACGTCTTTGCTTCCCAGCCTGTATCTTATATCTCTCACCAGAACTTTTTCATAATTCTGAGGCACAGAACAAAATTCCCCAAGTAATTAGCTCATGTTGGAGAAAGAGGACTGTACAAGTAACATCTAACTCCATTTTCCTGGGAGTCTCAGCTCCAGTGAGAACACCCTGTGTCCATGGGCAATGAGTCCATGAAAAAAAAGCTCTTCCTCTGAACAGGGTGGAAGATGTATTTGGAGAAAAGCAGGACAGAGTAAAGCTACCCAATGGGGCAAAATCACTGTCATAATTGAGGCGAGAGAGGATTTGGGCGTTCGAATTAAGGCATTGCTTTAGGGAATAGACATTTGTGAGATGCATAAAAAGAACTGTTGTTTTTGCTCTGAACAACTGCAGTTGTATTAACTGTGAAGCCCTTCAAGGATCTAGGAACTCCAGGAGAAGGGAATTTCTCCTTTTATATTAGAGTAAATCCAAATATCACAAGATCCACTGTGCATTTTTCTCTCTCCCCTTCCTGCTTTATAACAGAATCTTGGTTTTGTTTTGGTGATCTATCTTGCTACAGATGATGCCTTGTGCTTCTCTAAGTTAATCTTTCTAATCACATTCTTGAGCCAGAGACTGGTTTAGGAAGGGGCAAATTTTTGAATTATGACCAGTGTTACATGTGGGGAAATTTGCTGGGGAGCTTCTGGAATATGTCTTTTGCCGTAGTTTGAATGTTTCCCAAAATTCATATGTTGGAAACCCAATTCCTAATGTGATAGTATTAAGAGGTGGAACCTTGGGGCCAGCGCTGTGGTGTAGAAGGCTAAACCTCTGCCTGCAGTGCCAGAATCCCATATGGGCACTGGTTCAAGTCCTAGCTGCTCCACTTCAGATCCACCTCCCTGCTAATGTGCCTGGGAAAGCAGCAGTGGAAGATGGCCCAAGTATTTGGGTCCCTGCACCCAAGAGGGAAACCAGGGTGAAGCTCCTGGCTCCTGGCTTCAGCCTGGTCCAGCCCCAGCCATTGCAGTCATTTGGGGAGTGAACCAGCAGATGGAAGATCTCTCTCCTCTCTTTGTATCTCTGTCTTCCAAATAAATAAATAAATAAATCTTAAAAAAAAAAAAAGAGGCAGAGCCTTTAAAAGTAGATTAAGACATAAGGGCAGAGTGCTTATGGATTGGATTAGAGACTTCATAGAAGGGCTCAAGCATGACAGGGAGCTTGCTTTCTATCTTTTTAAAAAGATTTGTTTATTTATTTATTTGAAAAGCAGAGTTACAGAGAGAGGGAGAGAGAGTGCTTCCATTCTCTGGTTCACTCCCCAAATGTTCACTCCCCAAATGGCTGCAATGGGCCACAGCTGGGCCTGTCTGAAGCCAGGAGCTAGGAGCTTCCTCTGGGTCTCCCACATGGGTGCCAGGGATGATGCAGCAGGAAGACCCTTATCAGATGTTGGTCTCTTGATCCTGAATTTCCCAGCCTCTAGAACAGTGATAACTTTATGTTATTTATAAATTATCCAGTCTCTGATATTCTGCTATAGCAGCACAAGACTAGTTTTCACTCATAGAGACTTGCAGAGGTGGGCATTTGGTGCAGTTATTAAAGACACCACTTGGTTGCCACATCCCATTTCAGAATGCCTGGTACAAGTAGGCTCCTCTGCTTCTGATCCAGCTTTCTGCCAGTAACCATTCTGGGAGGCAGCAGCTGATGACTTAAGTCCCTGCTACTCACATAAGAGACCCAGTCTAAGTTCCTGGATCCTAGCTTTTATTGGTCCAGCCCTGGCTATTTGGCAAGTGAGCCAGTAGTTGAGTGATCTTTGTGTGTCTCTCTCTTTCTCTGTCTCATTGCCTTTGAAATAAAGTGAAAACAAGCAAAAGCAAAAAGATAGGGATTTGCATGGTGGTATAGCAGGTATTTGTGACACCATCATCTCATATCAGAGTGCCAGTTCAAGTCCCAGCTGTTCTCTTTCCAACCAGCATTCCTGCTAACACACCTGAGAAGCAGGGGATGATGGTCCAGTGCTTGGGTCCCTGTCACCAGTAGATGAAAGATTATGTGCTTGCTCAATCTCTCTGCCTTTCAAATAACTAACTAAATAAATCTTTAAAAAAAAAGACATGTAGGAAATCACTGGACTTTGCTGTATGTGATTGTAGCAAGTAAACTGTAGAAGCCATTTTAAGATTCTGAGTTAAAAATAGAGTCAACATTCCAAAGATGTTAGAGGAGAAAGATCTAGAAGGAATCTGAGTTTTATGACATGGGTAGCAGCTGAGTTGGCACCATTCTACCTCAGGCTTCTTGTTATAAGAGGTAATAAATATTCTTTTATAGTTTAATGCAGTTTAGGTTGCTGTTATTTTCAGCCCCAAACAGATTATGAGATACAGAACTATCCCCAAAAGAGAGACTCCTAACAAGGCCTGTGATCACTTGTAAATAAAACTGTTGGGTCTGGATTTTCAGTGGTCCAATCAATGGCCTTAGAGCAGTTCATCACTGGGAAAATGAACCGACCAAAGTCTAAGCTCCTGGTAAGTGATCTCCACTGAAGTATGTATTTCCTGAAACACAACATTCAATTATATCAGTGTTAAGACATCGTCTTTTAATTTTCACTTCCTGTATTACACTTAACAGTTACTGTCTGTGTGTTCTTGCTCAAGACCACTGGTAGGTTCAGAAATAGAACACGGTACCTAGGTCATAATGGAAGTTTACCACGTTGACAAAGCCCTTTGACAGATTGCAGGAAATAAAAGTCAACCAAACAGGAAGTAGGTAGAGTAGACCAGAGCAGCCGGAAATATTTGGGCCTATCACAAGATTAGTCTATTTACAGAACAAATATGTACCAAACAAGATATAAAACTGAAATGTTTAATTTGTGAACACTTAAAAAGAGATCAAGAAAGAAGGGAAAACAAACCAGGAAGTAAAGGGGAGAAAGAAATAATGTCTTTCACTGGAATAAATTATTGCATAAAAAAAAAGTCTCTTGTCCAGATAGCAGCAGTTTTAAAACACTTATGCAAATTCCCTGGCCCTCCTCCCATGAAGGGGTGAATTCGCTGCCCCTCCCATTGATCTGGACCAGATCTTAGTGACTGCTTGACCATCAGGGTTTGGCAGACGTGACACTGTGTAACTTTCCTGGCTAGGTCATAACAGTTAATGTAGATGCTCCCTGGTTGTCTGGACGCTGTGTTGGAGCCTTGAGCCACTGTGTAAGAAGCACTGCCACCCTGATACCACCATACTGTGAGGAAGCACTGATTAACCCACAAAAATTGACCACAGGGAAAGGCACTGAGATGGAAAGAAACACCCAGCCGACTGGAGCTCTTTCCAACATCTCCTGTCTCTGCAACTGCGTGAGAGACCCCAAGCCAGGCCACCCACTGGGACCCCTCTTGAACCCTGCTCCTACAGAAACCACAGCAGATGATGGGGTGGTTTGTCAGGCAGTAATGGACAACTGGAACAATGGAGCAGATGATTTAAATGTTAGGGCTCTTAATAAGTAGGGAAAGAACTCAGGCACCCAATAGAAGTCATCATAACTCGTTACCATGACAAGCAGGATGAAGTGGTAGTTTCTAGTCAGAGGATCTGTTACCAAGAATCAAAGTAATTAACTGGTGAGGCCAAGGAAGGTTTACAAAAATCTTGATTCTGAAAGAATACTTCAGTTATGAAATGTTTAAATGTTATGCCATTTTTCCAAGGGCAGTTTGTATAAGTAATTTTCACTACTTTTTCTTCCTATTTCAGATATTCATATTACCAACAAACTATAACAGGTATTTGGGCTGATTGATGATACATCAACCTCAGCAACTCAAAAGCCACAAGCTGGGAAGGTTAGAACCGCTCTGTGCTGGGTGCCAGCTTGCTGGCCTGGGGATATTCATCATTGAACAGCTCTGAAAGGGAGACACAGCCAGTGGATCGTATCTGTGGGCTGAATTTCAAGATGGGAAGGATGGACATCAGAGAAGTCAAGGCTTCCTAAGGCTCACATTTCTGGTATTAAGTCTTCTAGTTCTTATTTTAAATCATTGGAAAAAAAAAGAGACAAATAAAAATTTTAGGTTTACTTTTATTTTTTTGCAAACGCAGAACCACAGAGAGAGGGTCAGAGACAAAGAGACCTTCTATCTGCTGGTTCATTGCCCTCATGCCCACACAGCCAAGGCTGAGCTAGGCCAGAGCCAGGAGCCAGGAGCCAGGAACTCTACCTTGGTATCCTATTTTTATGGCAGGAAGCCAAGTACCTGAACCATCACCTGCTGCCTCCCCAGGTGCATGTGATTAGAAGCTGATGGTATGCATGCCAGGTACTCTGATATGGGATGCAGATAGCCCAAGAGGCAGCTTAACCTGCTGTGCCACTACACCAATCCTATAAATAAAAATTAAAATTAATCAAAGCAGAGTAGGCATTTGGAGAATGAAAAGTTCCAGGCTTTTTTTTTTTTAAAGAATCTTTTTTAAAAAGTTTTTATTTATTGATTATTATGATCTTTATGTTACATATTTAACAATTCTAAAAAAGTGGTTCTCATCAGTCTATCCCCGCTTAAGGATCCCCACTGATAACTTCCTTGGCCTGGCCCACAGTTCTGGCTGTTACGGGCATTTTAGGAGTGAACCAGTAAATGGAAGGTCTCTCCCCATCTGTCTCTCTGTCCCTCTCTATGTGTGTCTCTCTGCCTAGAAAATAAAATGAAAATAAATACTTTTTAAAACAAATATTTATTTTATTTATTTTAAAGACAAAGTTACAGAGAGAGAGGGAAAGGTAGAGAGAGATCTTCCATCCACTGGTTCACTCCCCAAATGGCTGCATATGCCAGGGCTGGGCCAGGCCAAAGCCAGGAGCTAGGAGCTTCCTCCGGGTCTCCCATGTAGGTGCAGGGGCCTAAGGAATTGGGTCATATTCTGCTACTTTCACCAGAGCATTAGCAGGAAGCTTGATCAGAAGTGGAGTATCTGGGACTTGAAGTGGCACCCATATGGAATGCCAGCATCATAGGTGGTGGCTTAATCCGTTACATCATGATGCCAGCCCCTATCATTTTTAAAAATCATTGGGAGGGTGAGTATGGTGAGAAGAATCACTGTGTTCCTAAAGCTGCACTTATGAAATGCATGAAGTTTGTATTTCTTAAATAAAAGGTTTCTGGGGGAAAAATCAAAGCAAATGCAGAAAAATAATATGGAAAATTCCCATGAAGTAAGAAAAGTAGGCAAATCTGTAGGGTCAGAAAGTAGATCAGTGGTTGCCTAGGGCTGGAGTGTCGCAGGGACTGACTGCCACTGAGGAGTACAGTGAGTACAGGATTTCTTTATGTGATGCTGGAAATGTTCTGAAACTGCCTCTGGATGCAAAACTAAATATATAGGTTGAACATCCTGAATCCAAAATGCTCCAAAATATGAAACTTTTTCCGTACCGACATAACAGAAGTGGAAAGTTCCGTGCCCGAACTCATGTGATGGCTTGCAGTCAAAACGCAAGTGCACTAAAAATATTGTATAAATTTACCTGCAGCCTATGTGAATAAGCTACATATGAAACATAAATGAATTTCATGTTTAGACTTGGGTCCCCATCCCCAAGATGCCTCATTATATATATATGCAAATATTCCAAGATCTAAAAAAAGCCCCAATATGAAACACTTGTGAACCCAGGGATTTGGGATTAGGGATCCTAGGCCTGTACTGAAAGCCAGTGGATTATGCACTTTAGATGGGCACATCAGGGTAGGTTGTGTGGCACAGCAGGTTAAGTCCCTTCTTGGGATGCCTGTATCCAAATCAGAGTGCCTGGAATCAAGTCCCAACTGCACCTCCCTGCTAACGCACAAGGGAGGCAGCAGATGATGGCCCAATTGCTTGGGTCCCTGCCACCCATCCAGATGGAATTCCTTGCTCCTGGCTTCAATGGATGAAGGATCTCTCTCTGTCTCTCCTCTCTCAGATACTCTGCCTTTCAAATAAATAAATAAATATAAATCTTTAACAAATAAATAAGTGGGCATACCAGATGGTGTGTGAGCACCATATCATACAGTTAGGTCAATACAGTTGTTATGAAAGAAGGAACACAGGGGAAAAAAGTTTATGTAAGATGAAAACAGATAAAAATCAACCATTTTGTCATAGTTAAAATATCTGCAGTGGTGCTTAGAAATTCCCGGAGAGAAGGAGCACTGAGATCCCTCAAGGGCAAAGTTCAGCTGACTTTTTTGTAATAGGCTACAGAGGAAACAGTCCGTGGGCCAAGAGGCAGAACTGTGGATATCAAATAGGTATTCCCATAATAAGAGAGAATAAATTTCTGCATTTTTAACTGACAAAATGCAAAATACAGTAACAGTACAATTTCTAATAAGATGGGCCCACTAAAGAAGAATAGAATTCTTTTCCATGGATAATATTTTGGTTAATTGAAGCTACAATTTAGCCTTCCTTATCATCAAACTGATGGTAAATAGTCTTCTGAAAAATGAATCTTAACTGGTGGGTCATACAGAAACAGGCAGTGAGCTGGATTTGCCTGTGGGCCATAGTTTGCTGACCCCTGCTCTAGAGGAGTAAATGCCTAAAAGTCAATATATTAGTTTCCTTAGGGCATCTATAACAAAGTACTACAAACAGGGTAGAAACCTACTATCTCACAGTTCTAGAGGCCACAAGTCTGGAACTAAGGTGCTGGCCAGGGCCATGCTTTCTTCTAAGGCTCGGGGAAGGACACTCCTTTGGTGGCTCAACTGTTCTTGGTTTGTGGCAGCTTAACTCTCTGTTTCATCTTTTCTTCTAAATCCAGCTGTTGCACTCTAATTCAATACTAGCTCATTTAACTAATTACATCTGCAACAACCTTATTGCAAAGGAAGTTCATATTCATAGCTACTGGGAGTTTGGCACTGAACACATCTTTTCAGGGGAACACAATTCAACCCACAGTAGCAATAAACTTGGGCAGAGAGACCTGGACGATCCTTGGGTCAAAGGCACCCTCCTTGGTTGTTTTTTTAAGATTTATTTTATTTGTGTGAAAGGCAGAGTTACTGAGAGAGAGAGAGAGCGAGAGAGAGAGAGAGAGAGAGATCGAGAACCAGTGGAGGGAAGATCTCTTTCTCTCTATATTGCAACGGCTGGGGCTGAGCCAGCCTGAAATCAGGAGTCAGGGACTTCCTCTGGGTCTCCCACATGGGTGCAGGGGCCCAAAGACATGGCCATCTTCTGCCACTTTCCCAGGCACATTAGCAAGGAGCTGGATCAGAAGTGGAGTAGACCAGGCTTGAACTGGCACCCATATGGGATGCTGGTATTGCAGGCAGTGGCTTAACTTGCAATGACACAATGCCAGCTCCAGCATCTTCCTTATTATATGCTTCTTAGGAAGTGATGTTACTGATAACCTCCAAATCTAGCCTTGTTCTTATCCTAGGGAGTACCTGCAATCCTGGAGCACAGGGAGTGCACCTGGATCATTCCCACAGCTCTAGTCAGACACTTCTTTTTGTGGTTTTGAGGTTCTCAGCTATTACATGCTTTCATTTAAAAATATGAGTATGTCACTTACCCTGAGGAAAAAAGGCTAGAAGTCATTCTATACTGGAATGAATGGTGCTTAGCTATTTTGGACATTTGGGCACTTCATAATATTTCTGAGATTCTAGAAAATGGGCTAATTTTTGTTTGCTTCCATTCTAAAAACTTAAAAAAGATAGAACATATAAAGATCCTATTACTAACCCACTGCTGAAAGAAAAAAATGGTAAAGCTCACAATATGGATGCCACCCCTGGTTGCAGCATCAGTCTGGGACATCTCAGCAAAGTTTGGGGGTTTAATGGATTGTCCGATACGTACTTAAAGGGCAGCTGGCAAAGTCAGGCCAAGCCTGAGTTGAACTTTCTTGAGGGAAAGGGAAGGTTCTTGGAAGCAGAGATGCTTCTCACTTGCTGTGAGGCGGTTGTATATGTTGTATGAGCAGTAGGAGCATAGAGTTTTCTCGAGAACTTCCTCTTTATTCGCTTCATCTCCAGCTGAGCAGTTTTTATGTTCAGAGAAGTGCTGTGCGTCACAGAATCACAAAACATCACAATGGAAGAAGTCTCACTTCCTCTCATTTAGTGGATGATGGAACCGAGGCTCCACACGGTGGAAGGACTGGCCCAAGATCACTCTTTCAGTGGTCCCACCGACGTGCCAGGCCCTGAGTCCTAGACAGGAACAACGCAGACATGCTTTGTCTTCTGAGAGAGCATCGAGTCTCATGGAGGAGGCAGAAAATGAGCACACACACACAGATAATGGTTCTAAGCGTTCACCCAGGACGAGTGCTGGAGCCCCAGGAGGGCACAGCCAAGGCTGGGAGCTGGGGCAGAGTGAAAAGACTGGCCTGGGGACATGGGGCCTGAGGGGCATTCTGGGCAGGTGGAACCCTGTTCGCTGGTCTCAGTGGAGGGGAGCAGAGTGGTTTCAGGGAATGGAGAGAAGGTCGGTGTGTTCGGGGTGCTTTGTGTGAAGCCCATTTAGTTCTTGCTAAGGTGAGCAGGAGTTAGCTCTCGCAGGACTTCAAGCCATGGTGAGCATTTGGACTTCAACCTAAGAACACATGAGATCCCAAAAAGCTTCTAAGGAGGAGAGTATCATGATCAGCTTTTATTTTAAAACACGTAAAAGGCTTTGGACACTGAGTGAAGAATAGTCTAGAAAGTGGGGCAGAAGTCAGGTAAGATCATTTGTCCAAGACTGCTACTATGGGCCACGCAGGAGCTGGTTGGAGCCGTGATGATGGAGAGGACTGGATGGATCAATGACCAGTACAGACAAAACCTACAGATTTGAAAATCCAAGTATGTAAGGGTGGGGGAGGGACTAGGATCCTGGATTGAAACAGGGAACAGTGGGATTGACCTATGTCTGGCAGTAGAAAGACAAAGATTTTGAATGTGGCATGGGTAGGTCCAATCTGAGCACTTGTGAAATGACGCAATGACTTCCTA